GTGGAGGTTTGTGAATTAGAAATTATTATTTGATTTTTTAATCTGCATTTCTATTTTCCACCTAAGATCATTTTCAAGGTGATTTACAGATTTTATTTGCCTTTAATTTTTTGGCACTTGATTTCTGTTTATACAACAGTCTTAGGCCATGAGGTGATTCTAATTCCAGGCAAAAATAAATTATAGAATATGTGGGTCTGGAGTCAGCTAACTGAATTTGGGACAAATTACCCAAATATCTGGGTGTCTGGCTCTAACTTTTCAAATTTATAAAATAAAAGAATTAAGATAATTTGTAAGGAATTTTTACATCTGTATTTCTGATTCTCTGGTAGGTTATATAATGAGAACATAAATATTCCTTTGATGCATGAAATGAGTTATTTGAAACTTACACTAAATATAATGTAACAAGTCACAGAAATCATAAATTAATTCACAAAATATTTTATTTAAAAAATTAGCTCTATAAACATTTTTGTACTATAGTGAGTCATAGTTTACACTAATTATAATTATAATAATTTAGAGTTTATCCATATATTCTGGTGATCTCTATAACAAATCACCCCAAAACTTAGTGGCTTAAAACTATACTTTTATTTTTGTTTACAATTTTGTAAGTCAGGGATTTGGAAATAATTCCACTCAGGCAGTTATGATGAGATATTGGCTGGGACTTTGGTCACCTGAAGGCTCCACTGGGCTGGATGTGCAAGATGGCTCACTCTCAGGGCTGGCAGTTGATGCCCTTTCGAAGCTCATATGGGACTCTCAATGGAAGCTCAGTGTGGCTTGTACTTAGCCTGCCTGCTGGGTTCTTTCAGCAAGGACGTAACCTGAGGGGGCGCATTCTAAGAGACCAATCACTGAAGCTGAGAGGCCTTTTCTGATCAAGCCCTGGAAGTCATGCAGAGTTACTACCATTGAATTCTGTTGGTCAAGCAAGTCTATAAGACCAGCTCAGATCCAAGGAGAGGGCGTTAGACTCCATCTTTCAATGGGAATAGTAGCAAAGGATTGTAACCATCTGTAATCTACCACACTACGAGTCCCATATTTATGAATAATTATTGAATTAGGAAATAATAGAATTGAATTTTAGTCCTAAAAATTAATTATACTTGAATGAGAAGCAGAGAATGTCATAATTATTAAATTATATATTTTCCTATCAATTAATAGTATGCATTTAAATAAGCATAAGTTTAAATTGGTTACATTAGCCTACACGCTAATGGAATAACCTTCTTTTTAAAATGAAGAAATAGGGCTGGCCCAGTGGTGTAGTGGTTGAGTTCACAAGCTCTGCTCTGGTGGCCCAGGGTTTGTGGATTCAGATCCCAGGTGTGGACCTACACACTGCTCATCAAGCCATGCTGTGGCAGCATCCCACATGCAAAATAGAGGAAGGTTGGCACAGAGGTTAGCTCAGGGACAATCTTCCTCACAAAAAAACAAAAACAAAAAAGAATATTTAAATCCAGTTAATTCTACACATCAATATGTTTTCTAACTCAATAGATTATTCTGCCAAATATGTCCTAGAATTTTGCAAATATAGTGAGAATATTGAGGGAATATTGCTATCAGCCTTCTTCTGAGAGTAAAAGTTGTTCAAGGGCTTTAATTTTGCACATTAGATACTTCGGTAAATGTTGCCACATGAACAAATAACAACAAAAAACAAACTGAGTAACTAAGATTCATTTGCAAAGTCATTCATAGACAAAGCTTTTATAAATTGGCTTCTGATGACATATGATAAGTATTTAATATGTGTTATTCCATAAGTAAATGCAAATGATTTATTACCACCTACCTGATTTAAAGCTTCAAGATTATAAACTTCTTGAAAAAGTTCCCCAGGAATAAAAGCAGAGAGTGTTGTAAAGTGAGCATATTTTTTTGGAAAACCAAGTTTCTTTACAATTCCTATTAGCCACAATATAGACAAGTCTTCATTTTAAACGAATCAACAAAATATTAATTAATTAACATACAAAAATATTGTTGATAATTAATGGAGAAAAAACAGTCGCAGTAGATTCAAGCTGAGCCTCAGACCCCCTTTCAGTAATGGACTCACTGCCCAGATGCAAATCCTGTGGTCAGCTGACTGCCTCCAGCTGTTAACGCCTTTAGGGCCTGCCCCAGTTTTCCAGCTGAAGTCAAGCTCATCTCTGTGCGGGCTTTCCGTTTACTGAATAAAGTAACAGCAGCTGAGATCCAGTTTTTCTTGAGGCAGCTCCCAACCACTGATTGAACAGGGAGTGGTATAAGAGCCTACCCCCTTCCTGTCAACAAGGGATCCCTATAACAGGAGATCTTGGCTCTGAAGCTCCTCATTTAGCTGGCAGAGGATTTGTTGGGTATGACTCTTGGTCCAACTGTCCCCTTGCCCTGCTAGAATTCTTCCCCTTTTCTTTCTTTCTTTCTTTTTTTTTTTTTTGAGGAAGATTAGCCCTAAGCTAACATCTGCTGCCAATCTTCTTCTTTTTGCTGAGGAAGACTGGCCCTGAGCTAACATCTGTGCCCATCTTCCTCTACTTTATATGTGGAATGCCTGCCACAGCATGGCTTGACAAGCAGTACGTAGGTCTGCACCTGGGATGCAAACTGGCAAACACCAGGCTGCTGAAGCAGAACCGGCAAACTTAACTGCTGCGCCACTGGGCTGGCCGCCACCCTTTACTTTTCACATGGATTTATTCTCCAATAAACCTGTAGCACCCTTAACTCCACCTCAGTATTTGTTTCCTGGAAACTCCAACCTGTGACAGCATTTTTTTTTATGAAGGGATTTAAATTTTTAAATGAGATATTATACAAGACTTCAGGAATATAAGTACTAGTACAATAGAGTTTTTGTTATAGGTAATTTATGGTCTGGTGTTATCATGGGGCTCAAAGAAGTAACTAGCACAGAACCACAGGGCTAGTTCATTGAAGCACCGAGGACGTGATCCTAGATCTCTCTGATTCTGGGAAACATCATTACTCTCTTATCTACCTTTGAAGTCTGCCAATTTTTCCTCTGCATTGATATTAAAAATGATGAGTATGAACTCTATCCATGCAAACCCATGATTTAGGAAAGATTGGACTACTATAAAAGAGAAGGAATAGACAGAGATAATTATCTCCCAATCAAGCTGGTGGCCAGCAAATGAAAAGAGATATTCGTAAATTAAAATATCTGTTCTTTATTGCTTAGTATAGAGGAAGCAGAAATTACTAACACCATGAGAACCAGAATATACAAGTATTCTGTTTTCTGTAATCCATTAGCTGTTTTCTTCTTTGTCAGCTCAGATAAGGGTAACATAAGCAGAAAAAGTGGGAATTCTCCTAAGATTTATGCTGTTTATTTGGTCATTTTATGGGAAGGAGACATGGATTTGAGCATTTTGTGTGTGTCAAGTACAGTGTTTGGTGCTGATGATATGCTAATGAAATAGTCTGTCCACTCAAGGATGGAGGGCTCTAGTCCACTGAGGCTGGGGAATGAGCAAATGACACATGAAGTATTAGGACTATATGAAACGATGTGTGGTTTAGACACCATGGAGCATGCCCTCACCCTCAAGGGGTACATCATCACTCAGCCAACAAGGGGAAGCTCCCTGGTGGAATGAGTAATGCTTGAAATGCATCTTAGAGCACGAGAAATTGTAGGGATAGCGGGATGCAGTGGGTAGAAGGCAATGTTATCCGGAGATGTGCATGTGTAAAGCAAGGAGATGTGAAACAACATTTTGCATTTCAGTTCTGTAGGAGTGAGCAAATGTTGTAATAAAGTTGGAAATGAAAAACTTTGAAACTCTGGAAATAAGCAAGTAGCAGAAAATAAAAGGCACTATACACTATGCTAAAGAGTTTTTACCCTTCCCCCTTTTTTTCATGAAAGAAGGGGTGATTAGGTGTTAAATTAAAAAGTGATGCAATTAATTCCCATTTAGGAAAATATCTCTGGCAGATGGGGAAAGTGATAGAGGAAAGCACTTTAGAGGCTGTTGCAGTAAAGTCAGGTAAGAAGCAGGAAGCACCTAGACTAAGTCACTGAGGGACAGAGTCCAGGAAATGGAGGTTCAAGAATTTGGTACCAGATTTGGTTCAAAGTAAGAGTTGAGAGTATAGGACGGCTTTCTGCTTATGCTTTTAGGAAATAGGAAGATAATGGGAGAAAGAAGTAGAAGTGAAGTTTGGCAGTAGGGCTAAAGGATGTTGAAATGAAGCTTGCCTTGGAATGTCTATGGAACAAAGCTGAGTATATATTCAGTAAGTACTTTCATTTATGGGTTGACGTTTGGAAGATAAATAGGTCTTGATTAAGTAGTTGTATCTGAGAGTTACCGTCAGAGAGTTATAAAGAGCATAGATGTGGATGTTTTTGTACATAAAGGCTATGGTTGAGTATACGTGCAGAGTGAGAAGATTACATACCCAAAGATAGAACTTTAGTGAAAGGGACAAATGTTATAGGAACGCCATTAAAGATAAAGACTGTACCACAGCCGTTGGTTTGGGAATTAATATTTAATTATAGTAGGGGAACAAATGGTAGGTAAAGTATCTCTTTTAGAGTACAGTTGTTTTTATTCCACTGATTATGTGTGCATAGGAATGGAAGGTAAGAATTTAGGGTGACTCCCTGGTTTCTGTTTTAGGCAGCAAAATGAGCAAATGCATACCAAAAGGAAAAAAAAAAAAAGACTTATATAAGAAAAAAACCTGTGTGTATATCTATCTCTATATATCTCATCATTTATAGCATGATAACATCTTTGGATACATTAGCTGGTTTATTTTGCAACTTAGAATATATTATGAAAAATATCACACTAAAGGGAATTTATTTTATTTAAAAATATCACACACTAGAGGAACTTGGTTTCATTAGTCAGATGCAATTATCTCCCACTGTGTAAAGCTGACTTTCCTTATCAAGAGCAAAGTGAAAGGGCTAAGCCTATTCCGTCTCTTTGATGTTTTTATAGGATATAATGAAAGATGAATGCTCAATGCTGAAGCTGCAGCTGAAAGAGAGGGATGAACTCATTTCACAACTTCAGGAAGAGTTGGTAAGTGATAACAATATTTGGCCCACAAGTGTACTTTCCTTGCAAGGTTATTTGCTATAAACCCTACAATAACTTATTTATTGATGCTAAGATTTTTAATTATTTATAAACCGTTGGTGATTCAATCTGATTAATTATCAATTTTATAATCCTACAGTAATGAACTGTAGATCTTTGACAAGCTGAAGAACAGAGGATGTTTTATGATGTATATTGAACTTTCTGTAATTCCAGAAACAGATCACTGGACCAGGGTTAGACATTTCAGCTGTATTTATCAAAAATCGTGAAGGCTAAGGTCACATTTTATTTTGTAAATTGCATGATTTAACTCCATACTGCTACAGAGATACAATCATGTAATATTAAGCAAAGTACTCAATAATCTTGCAAACAAAAACATGTTTTACTTTGTATTTTCATAAAGTTACCGAAAATGTGTTAACCTAATGAGACTTTGTTAATATAGATATATTATATAAATCCCAAATATGTAAAAAATACGCAAAAATATGAAATGTGTGTAATTCATATTTCTAGGGTGTTTTTTAATATGACATTAAAAATGTTATATACTTGGGGCCGGTCCGGTGGCACAGCGGTTAAGTTTGTACATTCCGCTTCTTGGCGGCCCGGGTTTGCCATTTCGGATCCTGGGTGTGGACATGGCACCACTTGGCAAAAGCCATGCTGTGGTAGGCGTCCCATGTATAAAGTAGAGGAAGATAGGCACAGATGTTAGCTCAGGGCCAGTCTTCCTCAGCAAAAAGAGGAGGATTGGCAGCAGTTACCTCAGGGCTAATATTCCTCAAAACAAACAAACAAAATGTTATATACTTTCATAACATGAAGACACATTTGGTATTTAACAGGAATAGCAGTGGGCACTACTTTTTCTAAGTATGTGTTTTCAATTTATATATGTATATGAACAGTATTTCACAATAAGACATGTTTACTCTGGATATAAATTAAAAAATGATAGTTCTCTATAACAAGGATGAAAAAGAAAAGAATGAAAAAGGAGTTTTAATTCAGCAAGCACTCTTAACAATACCAGTAAAATGAAGAAATACTATACAAGAGACCCTGACTCATTATCAAGGTAAAAAACAAATCCTACACCAATGAATGATGTATTATGTAATTATTAAATATAATTAAATGATAAAACAGATTTTATAGACCATCAAGCTTCTGAGAACTCTTAACATGTTAGTGAGACAGCAGACAAATTTGGAGCATATTTTGATTCTTGACAGCTGACAACGTTTTTACTGAAACTTGACCTCTATTTACACTATGTTATATGATTGCATTGATGATGATTATGGGTCCCAGAAGCATATTATTGTGGCTTTGGAAAACCAATAAGATGGATGGCAATTAGACTTTGGGTGGTGAACATGAAGTAGTCTACAAAAAAGAAGAAAACCCATAAACCAGTACTTAGTATAGTAATTGTATTAACAGACAAAAAGAACATGTCATATATAACTGGGAGTCAACTTTTATAAATATGTTAGTGATTTATAATATAAATTTTACATATTATATAAGGAAAACATTTGTATATTTAATGTAACCATATATATGTTATGTAATCAAGATTTCTTTATATAGCATACAAAAATGTCTTTGAGTTCAATACAAATCCTATGTAGATATTTATTATCTACATGTATGGCTGCCTAATGGCTACATAATGGCTGCATAGATTCATCAGTTTTAACAGCAGAGAATCTATCATTCATTTTGTCAGAGAATGCTTATTTTGGATACGTAACTCAGAAAGAAGCATTCATTTCTTCCCATCAACATTGATTGTGATCATATTTAAAACATAGCATATACAAGAAATCAGACCGTCATTTGTTGAATGAAATGAGAAAAAAATGATTACTTTCAGAGCCAATATTGCAAAGCTATGATTAAAGTAATTTAGTACACCTCCCTCTAAAAAAAAGTCTTCCTTTGGCTGATTCAGTAAAGTGAAGCACTAGTTGTTTTTTTCTCCTTTAAACTTGAATTACCCAAATTGACTACTTAACCTCTAAAATTTCCCAGGTAACAATCAAGGTACTGTTTTAATTTTTGTGCTATGTAGTTTGTGTAATCATCTTGAATATTTCAACAAAGGAAAATGTTAGCTTTTGAAAATATAGTTTGTTTTATTAAAGAGGACTGTAGTTGAAGAGGAAAGTGTATAAGCGATGATTTAAGAATTTAAGGAGGAAGAAACATCACAAAAAGAAAAAGGTGTCATTAAAACTGGATTTGGAGCACAAAGGAGGGATGGCAATCACATAAAAGCAATACAAACCACTTGACTCCATTGAAAATTAGGTCCTAGTACTTCTGATCCTGATAATAACTATTGACATTTTGACAAGGTGGCGGTTAAACTTTACCTTCATACTTTACCTGCCTAAATTTGAAAATTTCATAACATTTTAAAAATCAGTTTACGTGAACCCTATTATAATACAGATTTATAATCTGTAATTTAGAACTAGTTTAGTTCTTATTGTTTATCATGGTCTCTCATTTCTTGACAACTGCTATTATCATAAGCAATTTTATCTACACATATATAGCATAAAACAAATTTAGATGTAATTATACCAAGAAAAGATTTATACTCAACTTAATATTAAGAAAGCTTTATTTTTTTTTATAATTCTTTGTTTACTTATTTAGCCTTATTTTGATAGTTTCAGGAGTTTTAAAAAAATCAAGGGCAGTGTGGGTTTGGGGCAAAAGAGATTTTTTTTAAATTTTTTTTGGTGAGGAAGATTTTCCCTGAGCTAACATCTCCTGACAATCTTCCTCTCTTTTGCTTTTTTTTTTAGTTGAGGAAGATTAGCCCTTAGCTAACATCTGTGCCAATCTTTTTCTAGTTTGTATGTGGGATGCCTCCACAGCATGGCTGATGAGTGGATTAGGTCCACACCTGGGATCTGAACCCATGAACCTGGGCTGCCAAGGCAGAAGGTGGAACTTTAACCACTCGGCCATGGGGTCAGACCCAAAAGAAATGTTTTTAGATGTGAATTTTCAGTTATTTCTTTATCTTTAGATCAGTGTTTCTCAACAACAGCGCTGTTGACATTTTGGGCCAGATTATTCTTTGTTGTAAGTGGCTGTTCTGTGTGTTGTAGGATGTTTAGCAGCATCCCTGGCCTCTCCCTTCTAGATGCCAGTAGTACCCTCCAGGCTTTGTCAAATGTCCGTAGAGGCAAAATTGCCCCCAATTGAGAAGCATTACTTTAGGGTTTTAGATTAAATTATAGTCCCCAATGAAATTGTGTAAGATAGACATTTACTTGTTGATACCCAGTAAAACAGAAATTCTGCAGAAGGGATGGACCTCTCTTTTAACTATTTACATAAATAGCCATTTTCATGCTGCTTTAGGCTGCTAGGGCTGCCATAACAAAATGCTATAGACTGGGTGGCTTACACAACAGAAATTTATATTTTTGAAGTCCTGAAGGCTGGAAGTCTAATGTCAGGGTACCAGCATGGTTGGGTTCTGGTGAGAGCTCTCTTCCTTGCTTGCAGATGGCTGCTTCTAGCTAGGTGCGCACATGGCCTTTGCCCAGTGCATGTGCATGGAAAGAGGGAGGGGGAGAAAATGGGTGTGAATTCTCTGATGTCCCTTCTTATAAGGGTGCTAATCCATCAGGAGTACCCCTCCCTCCTGACCTCATCATCTCCCAAAGACCCCGTCTCCAAATACCATCACACTGGGGTTTAGGGCTTCAACATAGGAATTTGGGAGGGTCACAATTTAGTCCATAGCACATACTGTTTAACTTATGAAACTTAGTATTAGCGAGTAAAATTGCAGACAAAGAGTTCTATTGTATTTCTTTTCAAGCGCTAAATGCACTTTTCAAACATTATCATTCTTTCTCTAGTCTATGATTTCAGAATTATTACCTTGGTTCAACTTTTCTTTCTTGCTAGGTTGGTAGATTTTACAAAGCATAAATATACTAAGAAACAAAGTAATTTTGATTTGGGATTATATATTAATGTTGTTTGGGCAAATTGTCCACATTATTAACTGCATTTATAATATGTGTGTGTTCTGTAGTCAACTTTCAATTTGTCCCTTCCCGTTGTCTTTAAAAAGAAGAAAACGAGGGATTTGTACTCTTGGGAGCAATTTCAAGACGTCTGAAATTATTATCCCTGTAATTTGTATGCATCACTTACATTGGTGAGATTGATTTTTTGAACAGATAAAAATAATCATTTGCACATATTTTATGATGTCCAAGGAGATATTAAGTATTACAATATCAGAGTGTCCTGGGATTGTACATGTGGTGGGGCAACTAATTGGAGAAAACAAGAAATAGACCCTTCAGATAAGAGTTTTGGGTATGGTAAACAGGAAGGAACTGGTCCCGACATGGGATATCTGCTCCCAGCAGCTTTATGACAGAATAAGTCTCCTCTGCACTGCTGTGAGGTAATGTGAAGGGCTCTGAATCTGTGCGACATGGGCTATGGAAACAATATTTTTAATGTTGACAATAAATTATAGCTTGTATTGGTTTTATAAAGTGTGTTCACAAAATATTGGAATAAGCCAAACAACATTTGAAATCATCTTCTCAAGTTTAAGACTACTCTCCCATCAAATGAGATCATTTAAAATGTTTTTCCTTTCCTCTCTCTCCCCTCCCCTAGAAACATATGACTTTTGCTGAGCTTGTTGAGGACTTTTAGTGATTTCAGTTCTTTTAGTTGCTTTTCCTTTGAAACATATTTCTTCTCTTTCAAAAATACTTATTTGTGACTTATATTTGAAAATCACTAGTCACAGTATTATTATCTATTTAGATTTGAACTGAGTAGTATAGGATTTATTACACATCACTGTTTCTCCTCCTCCTCATCTTTCTTCATTTCATGTTCTATGTTCTCTTCTGATTCACTTAGTTTTGGTTAGAATCCTTTCCTGTGTTTCCTTCAGATGGGACATT